CTCGCTGTCGGGGAGAGGTGGGTTGGGGGGGGGGGGGGGGGAAATCTCACTTTTTGGGGTTTGCACAGTTTTGCTTGCCAAGGGTGAGTGGGAGGGGAGCAGCTCCCCCATCCACCCCTCGACGCCAGCGGTTTGGCTCCATCTACGTGCAGTGACTCGGAGAAAGAAGTTACGGGTACCTGTAGGCAAGAGCCTTTAACTTATATCAAAAAGGTTTATTCCAGAGAATCTGTGTATATATCTATAAATATATCCTGTATATATATAAATAAATATATTAAAAAAAAAAGAATGTATAATACTAATGCAACATAAAGCAGTACCGAGAGAGAGTGTCAAAATACAAGCATTGCAATCTAGGATATACTGATCTGGGCGAAAGAAAAGATTGTTTGTTTGTTTGTTTGTTTTATATCTTCACAGTTTTGTTTTAAAAATTGTACCTTAACGTGTATATTTGTAAAGTTATTTATAGACATTAACATATCTGTTCATCGGTTTAAATAGCGTAGCGTTACTGTAAACTTTAAATTTCACCGAGTTTAAGGGTGGGTTTTTTTAACTTATTAAAAATGGAGAAAAAATATATTAATCAAGTTTTTCTTTTGTGTTTATGGGAAATATTGAAAGAATGTATAGGTGTACAGTCTTTTAACAAATTACATTTAATGTTATAAATATATATATATGTATTCATTAAAAAATATTAGTTTATCCTGGATTGCAGTGAGCAAAAGTAAGTTTATTTTTCAATACATCACCAGTGGTTAAAACCAAACAAATAGCAGCAGAGAAATGATTTTTACATACTTCAGAAAAACAGGGCCAAGAATTCTTCCATCAGTTTAACCACTGTGCATTAAGGGGGTGTGGGTGTTTATTTTTCTGTTTTCAAATGAAGGTATTCTTTGTGGTCGAGTTAATAACAAGTATGAAGCAAAGCGAAATGTTGACTTTGGATGATGCGGGGTAATTTTTTTTTCCCCCTTTGCGGTACCATTGTATTTTGGGCTTCAGAAATGCCATGTGAGCAAAATAGCAAGAAGAGTGGCACTGTTCGCAGGAGAGGTGCAACGACTGCGTATTTATTTTGCCTCTAACTCATTGGAAAAGGCCAGTGATGCCTGATTTTCTGTGTTTGAAATGCTGTGCTATTTTGTTCCTCGATGTCAGATAGCTGTTTAAAAGCACAGGAGTGAACTAGGGAATTTTAGCGTGGATCAAGCTGACAAGGGGGAAGTTTGGGCTGGGGGGGTTTGTGGGTTGGGTTTTTTTTTTGTCCAGAAGACTTTACTACCACAAAGAGGCAAGGCAAATTGCATCCTGAATTCTTTCTTTCCGTTTTTCTCTGGTGCATATTACATATCGATGTTTCAGAATAACAGGATGGCAGCATCTCATTTTAAGTTTGTTTTTTTTTTTCTTCTTAGAGCCACAAAATCCTTATCCTAAAATAAATAATTTATAGTTTGAGGTTATTTCAATGGAAGTTTGAGAAGGTAGATTTCTAGAGATTTTTGTTTTGTTTTGTTGGAATAAAAAAGAATTTTTGGTATTTTCTTACAAATGTCTGCTAATTGTGTACATTCCAAGTACTCGAAGCGTTGAGTTTTCCTGTACTGAGAAAAGAAAATGTACAAAACTGTGCATGATTTCAAATGTTACTAGATATTATAAATATATATATAATTTATTGAGTTTTTACAAGATGTATCTGTTGTAGACTTGTTGACTTTAACATTTCTTATTCAATGCTTATATAGTTTTATAGCCTGGACTATTATCTTTAAAAGCTTAAAAAATTAAAAATTCCAATTTTGTTACATTTTATACTGTTGATGTTACAATCCAGAGGTTTGCATAGCGTGATTTTTTCAATGAGCAACTCTGTTCAGTTTATTTTAATACTGTATTTCTGTGCCTGACAGCTGCAGCTGTCAAAGGTGTGAGATGAACACTAAATAAAACTATTCTGCTTTTGTTAACATGGCAAACTTACTTAAAAAAAAAAAAATAAACAAGTTGTTAAATTTTGGGGTTTATTCCCAATTGTGAGGGTCCTTTGCAAAACCAAGTCTTCTAGGCTCTGGGATTTGTAGTGCCAGGAGGGTTTATTTTTTACAGTGCTGCTTTGAGAGTCCTGGCCAGCACAGGTTTTATATTCATAATAAATTTATAACAATTTTGGATCAAGGGCAGTATTATTTCTTTGCTAGTGGGTATATTTATATCCACACAAGCCATTGTGTGCATGCAGGTATAGAGGTATTTAACCCCCGCTTAACAAGGGCAGGAATTGCACATTAAACCTCTGTTGAGGATTTCATCCAGACCAGGATGTCTCCCAGTGTGATCGTGGTGGTGCTCACGACGTTGCATTCAGCCCTGCAGATGGTGGTGGAGGTGCAAGGTCCGCAAGAGGAGCCCACCACTAGGAAAGGGGGAAGGTGGATGCATCCAGAGCAGGCACCCAGAGCCTGGTGGGATGGGCACGGCAGACCTCATTCTGCCCGGCTCTCAAGGAGCAAGGGGAGCCCAAGTTTGACTTTGGTTTTGAGTGGGTTGAGCAAGGGAGCTCGGTAAATCCTCGCTTTGCTGGTAGCAGACGATGCAGGGGGATGTTTCAGCTTGGGAAACGTTGGGCCAATCCTACCAGCACTTCCATATAATATTAACAGTTTACGACAGGTGATCGTGTCGAACTGCATCCCAGACACCTCGATTTTTGCATGCAAATTTATCTACCTACATATAGCCTGCCTACAGTAGCAGGCATTTGTAGTTTTAAGTAGCTGAGCATGGGAGTGCATGCATCTGAGCAGGTTACATCTGCGGCACTGGGACTGGCACCACCACTGTTAGATCCTAGTAGAACTTAAAAAAAAAAAATTTACATTGTTTTTAGGTCATTTCCTTGCCATTGTAAGAAAAAAACATTCTTTTAGCACTACTAAGAGATACTGCATTGTGGGAGAAGAAGTCTTGCTGCCTGGAACGGGTTGTTCCCATGCTTTAAGGACACACTTTGATGGCCAGCCCGGTGTCCTGCCCCAGCAGGAGCAGCATGGGCCAAGGGTTGATCCCTGACCATCCAGGGCTGCAGTTGGAACGCAGCTGAACGCCTATTGCTGGTTCGCACGCAAATGGCTTCCTCGTAGCAGGGTGGTGAGGATGTTGTGCACCATTTGCCACCAGGACTTGAAAAGCAGGAGAGGGATGGATCGTTCCACAGTCAGCTGCTCTGTGTAACATACACATGCTTTATAGCTGCCCCAAAAAAAGTCCTCCAAGCACAGGGAGAGCACAGAAGTCAGTCTCAAAGAGGCAAGTCTCTGTCCCAGCGCAGTGGCTGACCCACGCATGGAGCTGGCATGATGTTTGCTTTCCCTCTTGGGTTTCATGATGTCATTCTTCTTCTGCTGACCTTCACCCGCAGCAGTGTTTGTTTGTGGGTTAGGGAGGAGGGGGTAATATTTTACTTTAATTGCCTTACAGTGCAGCCAGTTCTTAGCCGAGGATGAATATTTGGCTGCAGCGTGTGATGTGCATTGAGCAATGTGTAAAACAATCTCAAGGAACATTTGCAAAGCTGCTCAGCTGGGCTGTGTCACTGAGCAAATGTCCCACTGCAGCTCATCCTCCCCTTTCATGGCCGCAGCCTTCCACCCAAACCATATGCCCTTTCCACATGAAAGAGGTATTTTTTCAAAGCAGAACAAATGTCTTTTTTCCTCTGTGGGTGACTACACAAATAGGGCCTTGCACTGGCCCCCGTGACCTGTTTCGTAGCAATAAACAAATTACTAAAATTGTGATTTTTTTTTTTTAATGTGTTCCCATTGGTAATGGCTAAATGGTAAGACAGGGAGGATTTGGCAAAAGGAGGAAAAGTCTGAAGCCCTGCAGGTGTCAGTAGGAGATGACAACGAACTAAAATAGCGAAGTTTCCTGGTGACCGGTGCCATTTGAAACTCTTGAAGGAGGTGTCTCCTGCTGGTGGATTCCTCCGAGCCAGTTCATCCCTCCCAGAGGCTACATAACCTGCAGAAAGGGAATAAGGAGGCATGGGTCGTGTTGACATGAAAAAGGAATATAAAAGGTGAATGATGGATCTGCTCAACACCGCAGAGCTACTAGCAATGGGAGGACACGAGGGAATGGCCAGCGGAGATGCCAGGACATGAAGTGCTTTCTTTCTAGGGCTTCATGGCCCAGGACCGTGGGCTCACCAAGAGACAGGTAAGGGATTTGTCACTCTTGCCTGTACCTTCTTCTTCCTCCACCTTCTCAGCCATGCTAGCTTTAAGCATGGTTTCACTTTCTCATGCCTCTGATTTAGTTTCTCTGTTTCATCACCATCGTGTTGTTCTTCACAAGCAGCATCTCGGGTGTAGGCAACATGTCAAGCAGAAGAAGCATCGTGCCTTGCCCCAACAAGATTATTATCTAAAACCAGGAAAGAAATCAGTGTCCTAGCACGTGGTGATACAATCGGCTCTGAGCCCTGCGGGGACATTTGTGCCCACATGCACCACCATGTGATCAGCTTTCCTGGCTGGTACCCACCAAAGACCAGACCATAACCATTGCACCTGTCACAGGCCCTTTTGGGGGGGGTCTGGCAGCATGCAGGAGCAGGGGATGGGGAAGGAAAGTATGGAAGCAGAAGAAAGATATCTTACCAAATGTGCAAGTGGGATTGGCCCAGGAATTATTTTGCTAAAGGCCAAAATCTGCATGCACCACCCACCAACCATGGCTTGCTCCAGGTTCCTCGCCAATGCAGACAACAGTGGCTTTTCCATCAAGGAGGAAGGACCCCAGCTGGGAGGGGAGAGCAGGGAGAAGGGGCAGAATCGGGTGCATCTTCCAACCAAGGGCTACATTCAAATAGGCATTGGGCACCAAACTCGAGCAGTGAAAGCAAGGGAAAGTTTGGCGCCAGCAGAGTTAGGTACCTCCACACCTCCATGGCACTGGGGGAGGAATGCACTCCTATGTATTCAGCCAGAAAATCAGGCAGCACAAACTAAAACCGACACTGGGCAGAACAGGGTAACACCATGGATGACCAGCACACGGCCTCTCTGGTGATAACACACCCTGTCTAGCTGTTAGTACTGGCATTTAGCTAAATGCCACCCACACTCACCTCTGGGGCTGCCTCACCACCCTCTGCATGCTCTTGGGGCATGCTAGACTGAGATGGCATGGAAGGTGGTACCACTGCCTTACATCAAAGGTAGGCACTGCGTTTGGGTTCAGTCCACCCTGAGCCAAAGTCAATGTGGATGTTAGGGTAATCAGAGACTTCCAGATGTTAGAGACTGTATTAAAGAGCAGGTTGCAAGCAGGGCTGGTGAAACTTGTTACCTTTTGATTCATACTGACAAGACCTCTTGATAGAAGAGGAACAAAACTTGAAGTATCGATGGCAGAAAATCAAGGCAGAGAGAGGCAATATAGCACATCCCCTGAAGATTCTGCCAGACTGGTAGAACTGGGCAAAAAACCCAAACAAATTCCTACAAGCCCTCACTGAAGCTGCCTCAAGGAACTATCCACTTTGGAAAGTAACTTTGCAAACGCAAGGTGTTCACAGCCTGCACAGACATAGCACAAAGCTCTGTGAAGAAGTGCTGTCATGCACTCCTGACATGCTCATGCACACCCGGAACAGCTGCCTGGACAACCAGGATCCAGCCAGCAGCTTGCCACTTTCCCAGGAGCCAGCGTGTTTGCTCTATGAGATAGCTCTGGTCCTACCAAAAAAGCCTGAACCCAATCCAAGAGAAATCATTTCATGTCTTTCCTGGGTAGCACCACAGGTATCTTTTTTCCCAATATAGCAAATAACTTGTTCAGGAAATGGTTCTTTGTGCTGACCTTCCATCAGACACTTAGCTAGTCTGCTCAGCAAGGCAGAAAGCCCATTTATTGGTTCCAGCCAGTCAATGTCGGCTTTTCCACTGCCACACCAGCAATATGGAGGAGGCAGACAAACACAATTTTCTCCCAAAGTAAAAATTAGCTAGACTTTGCAGAAGTTGTTTTCAAGCAGACCCTGGAATTAAACCTGCTTTAGTAGTACTGATAGGTAATCTCTTGTTACTGCGAGAGCGAGAGATCTGTTTTCATCCTCTTGTGCCTCCCTGCAGCATTTAGCTCCCTCAGCCATTTCTGTCCTGCAGAAGATGGCGGACTTACAGGTGATGGTGCTTGATGTCATTCTGGAGGAACAAACTCAATGAGCACTGATAGGAGCTTATTGCTCACCTCCATTACAGGGTCCCAAAACAATCATCTTCCTGTCCTGGAGTGACACATACACATCTTCCACATGGGAAGAACATGCACTTAAGTGCTGACATTACATGGATGATGCCCACCACACCTTCACTGTGCACCACCATGAGGGCTGAGCAGCTGGACAGGATCAGCTCTTGAATGTGTCTAATTGATTCAGTTTGGCCAGTGGCTTCAGAGGGCTCCTAGTTCTCTGCCAGTCTTAAGTTTTTGCCTAATACAGTCTCCTAGGGATGTCTTCTCTTATTTGACGTCAGTGAGGAGTTTGTCTTGTCTTAACAGACAGCAGTCTGGCCTCCACTGCACACCGCCTGATCCAGCCAAGAGAACTACAGCAGAACGTTAACTATGTGACGTTGGACCTTGAGCCCTTAGGAAACCGCTGAATAGGCACTGCTGAACATGTCAGCAGAAAGGCACTGAGATGTTTGGCTGGTGAGGGCAGTATGCAAACCAAAGGAGAAGAGCAGAGACAGGCACATAGATGGCAAAAGCTGAGTCATCTTCATAAAAGGAGGGAAAGGACCAAGCCGCCAGATGGTTTCCTAAGAAAGATGCAATATCTTTCCAGGTACTCATGAGTTCACACGCTGGGAATGTGCTGCTGTCAGAAAGGAGCACTTGTTTACAGCCTGTACATGAGAGTTTCAAAGTCGTGGCAGTCTGAACGTCATCTCAGAGCTCTTGTTATGCAAGTAATTCAGATTTTTAGTGATTATTCTTCCTTGGACAGAAACCATGCAGCCAACTCTAACCTACACAAGAGATGGAAGAGGTAAATTTTAGGACTGATTGATCTGGGCATTGTAAAATGCATTTGTTGAAACGCCCTTGTCAGTATATACATTCCTACCTAATGCTTCTGTTGGAGGTTTATGGCTTGCATGTGAAAAACTTCTGCAAATACCTCCCAAAGGCATTTATGGTCAAACTCTTGGAGAACACCAGGAAAATTCAGAATTGGACCATCTTTATGAGACCCTGCAGAGTCTCCCTCTTCAAAAAAGCCATTCCACTCGGAATCATAGACTAGTTTGGGTTGGAAGGGACCTTTAAAGGTCATCTAGTCCAACCCCCCTGCCGTGGGCAGGGACATCCCTCATCGCCTCAGCCTGGGGTGTATAAACACCCAGCTAATAAAAATCATCTGCCAAACAGCCTTTCACAAACTACCCAAAGTAATATTCATACACCAACAGGAGAAATGACAGAAACACCTGAAAATTAAGTGATGCCCTTGCAAGTATTATCACCTTGCAAATAACCCAGGAGAGAGGAGAGGCTGTGCAATACACCCCTGATGACCAGGGACTTTCATCTGGCAAGGAAACCACCGAGGTCTGGAACCATCATACTTGGCTCCCGAGCAGCACAGTGACTACTAGATAAAAAATGCAGATAAATGCAACACGCATCGTGAGGCTGATGCTAAATAAACACCAAGATCCAGACAGGGGTGCGGGTCCCAGGCTGCAAGTGAGGAAGGCGAAGGAGCTTCCAGCTCTCCTTGTACAGGCTGAGCAAAGATGTTTATGGTGGGTGAGTGGAGCTGACCAAGCTCTGAAGCTCCTCCAGCCCAATAATAGCAAAAAATTGGTGTTTCTGCTAAGAGCAATGTCTGTGGAGAGGGCAGGCTGATGTACCTGGAGCTGTGCCAAGTGGGCATCGCTCCCCTTTTCTCTGCAACAGTGGGTTTTTTTCTGCTAGTTAACAAATACATAGTTATTAATATATTGTTATATCTATACGCCTGCTCGTTACAATTTCGGCATACAAAGAGTTCTGCTGTTAGGTAAATATTCTGGGAGAATGGGTGCTTTTAATATTGCTTACCAGTTTTATTGATGTTTACTACTAAGATCGTAATTCTGCCTTAAACTTGAGGAAGTCTCAGATGGGCTGAAACATTTTGGATAAACCTCTTCCACCTCCACCTATGCCCCCTCTAATAAGCTCATGATGAGATTTTTCATCAAAAAGGTCTCAGACCATAGGAGATACGTGCACACTAGCACCACATTTTATTTTTATTCCGAATTATTATTTATTTGTGAAGATCACTTTTTTTTCTTCTTTTAAAAAATAAACAGGATTTAAGAAACCTGAGCCAGTGGGAGCCTTTGGATACCAAGTCCATTTCACACAAAGCCCCGCTATCAGCTTACACTCCTTGAGAGTGATTTTAATGACATTTTCAGGAATTGGGTTTGCAAAAGCAAGGCTGTTATTGGATATTCAGAAAACAGAAAGGTAAGTGCTGTATTCATTACAACATTACAATGCTATGTTGGCACAGAAATAGTCATGACTTTTCCATCAGCCTTGTACTTAAATATAGACTTAAAGAAATTTTTACAAGGTAGAGAAAGGGCAAGAAATTATTGGCAAAAGGGGTGGTTCTGAGGTTACAGAATCCAAAATAATTTTGGTTGGCTGAACAAAAGCTAATTAATTTTTCTGAATATGCCACAATCCTCATGTAGGTGGTACTAACTCGTATTTGCCTTGCCCAGATTGGTGTGTCACATAGATTTTATGAACAGGGAAGAATGTAAGAGCAGTATGAGCCTAAGGAGAGTGGGCAACTCTCCAAAAGGGAGACACTCATCCTCATCATTAAAGTCAATCTTAAGAACCCATGTAAAAGGCCATCATTTTAGTTGTTAGGCAAAATCTCCAGCAAAGCCAAGGGAGGTTTGCTTGTGTGGGAGGGACTGGAGAAGTAAGGCCTCCATGCATGTGTGAGCATGTAGAACAGGGCAGAAAAACAGTTGTTTATGCAACATTAAAGTTGAGAAATGAAGCATTCAAGCAATGCAGCGTTAGGGTTGAATGCTCAGCTGTAATGTTGCCTCCCAGTATTTAAGTGACGGCAATGGTGGTTTTGCACATTGCTATGACTCCATGCAATAGGCAATATTGGTGAAATATGCTGTAGTTGGGGTTGTTCAGTGACAAATCAACCTGTGATTATCCTGCAAAGGGAAAAAAAAACCAACACTTTATTTTGAGACCTCACCATCCTTATGGCCCCAGGCTTTGTCCTTGATCTCCAGGTCTGCGTGAGCTGTGCCTTGGTGCAGAGATCACTTCACACTCAGCAGCAGAGAATTAGGCCTAAAATGAGACTGTCACTTAACTGACCGCAAAGTGTTTCTGTCTGGATGCTGGCATCCAAATAAGAGTCTAAAACTGTCACTCATCGCTGATTTTATCTCCTGCCTGCTCTGCAGATGGGCACCAGGGAGCTGAGTGTCCCTCGCTGCCTGTGCAGCCCTGCACACAGTACATCGCAGGACCAGCCTTTCCTATTCAGCATCTCTTAGGGAAGCTGTCCCCTACACTGCAGTACCTGATTTTTTCACTATTCACTCCGTAATTAGCTGTTTTCTGGCTCTTGGTCTAGGATGGTCCTCATAGCTGACACATATCAAGCCAACTGCCCCTTCTTGCAAGCCCAGGAGCACCTGAAAATGGTGCTGCAGGAGTCCCTTACAAAGTCCACATCATCTCTCAGGATTCAGCTATGCAAGACAGCCAGGGCAAGCACAGTCCCATGGCTTATGACCAGGGCTTTTTTCTCCCTTTGAGAAATGAGAATCTGTGGCTATGAAGGGACAGATCTTCCACGTCTCTGTGCCTTTCAAACTTCCTGGCTTACTTTGCATATAATTCCAAATGATCAAATCGAATGCTGATCTGACCTTTGTTTATTTTTCTTTCCTCAATGTCTGAGTGATTCGTTCAGCTCAGAAAATGGATTTAACTATCATTTCAAACAACTGCTAATTACAGTGACTGAAACCTAATACTGAATTCCAGCCTCAAAGGAGCCAATGGTTCGCATTAAATATCAGATGAGGCGAAACATCTCAATTTAGTCTGGCTATATGTTTGTCAGATTTCTGTGCAGAATGCACGCATGAGCAAGATACAACCAAGACACAGGAAATCAGATATCACCAAGCTCTCAGTAACACTCCAGGAGCGTAACCCACGCCATTCGTCTTAGGTACCTTGAAGTTCAGGCACTGATGAAGCAGATTTCGGGTGGGACATCTAATGTGCAGAGAGCAGGAATTTCAGCAGCGAAATAAATTATTAATCACCAATCTCTCTATTTTCACCTCTTAAAGGTGCTGAAGCGAGAAAGACTTTTGCAAATTTAGTAGAGCAAGAGCAATGCAAGTTCAAGGAATGATGTGAGTTTGCAGCACGTCTCCCAGGTACACAGGGGTAGACAGGGTCCAGTGACAAGTGGGGGCACAAGAGGGGCTTTTCAGATCTCTGCATAATCTTTTAGGGTGGTACCAAAGCTGCCAATCTTGAGAGCTGAGTTTCTACAGCTAATTACTGCAGTTTACAGACACTGAAGCTAAGGCACATGTTTTCAGAAGGGCTGAGAGCTCAGGCTCCCAATATGGTGCAAATTAAAGCAATAGCTTCATTAACTATCTGGTCGTACATGTAACACGTTGCAGCAGTAGCTCTAGGAGCCAGGGCATGGGGACTGCACTGGCATGAGGTGGAGGATTAGCTTCTGGGCTCCTCCACCTTGCCTGGGTGAGGTGGCAAAGGTATTTCATATTTTTTTGACAACTCCTTTAAAAAATATAAGAATTACAAGCCGAAAAAATGACATTTTACTATTGCCAACTAACATGTGGATTTAGCTGGCTCATCTTCAAATGTTCAGGTTTGAAACTTCTCACCTTTTCTTTTTACAGGTGTTTTTCTGCCTGACATTAAACCTCACATTATTCAGTGTTAGCTTCAAAAAGCCACACACTGCCATTTGAGGGAGGCTGCAAACTGGACACAGATTATCCCAGTAATCCCATGTATAACCATCCCAATCAGCTCCCTCAGTGGGAAACTCCCATACGCAGCATTTCAAGGGTTCGGGCACATCCCAGCAGTTTTATTTCCTGCAGTCTTGCTGCATCTCTGACTCTTACGCTGGAGTACACCTAACGCATCCAGCTGCCCTGGAGCCAGGGCTTTACCTGTGCTCATTCGCCATAAAACCCTGTTGTTCTGTGGGAACATCTGCTCATTTGTGCTCCACCCAAACGCCCCACACATTCTTCAGAAATTTCTCTTTCTACAGGTCTGGTTGCTTTTTGCCAGCAGCAATGTACACACTTGACATGCTAAGAAAAAGTATTTAACAGAAGGGAAAGTGCGTTCCTCATAAAGTATTCTCACTGCGGGATGAAGAGGAGCAAACTAACACTCCTGTACTTTAGGAAAGCTGTTTGCAAAAGGAAAGGAGCTTAACTGAGTCAGTTAAGGTGAAATACCTGCCATCCCCTCTCCGTAATATGCTTCAAAAAGCCTTTATGGTAATTTACCCAGGTCACTACTGGACTAAGTGACAGGGTGG